TCAACAATGCAAGAGCTACTTTTTCATTCATATAACTTACTTAGCTAGCATTTTATCTTTCCAGACCTCTAAATAATAACTTCAATTTATAGGGCATTGTGCAAATATTATTTCATTTGATCAATGACATAAAACAAAAATCAACTTTCTGTATCATTTTTAAAAACCCCTAACTCTGGTCCAGACTCTTAAAGCTGAATATTATGAACTTACGTGTGAGGTAAGCTTATCTTCACTGGAAAGTCACTGGGAGAACTTGCCTAAGAACCTCATGCCTGTCCCCTCCTCTCCTGTTTCCTTCAGTCCTTCTCACAGAAGGTTGTATGTGAATGGGCAAAAGGGTCATATCACAGAGACACTGGCTCTGCACGTGAAAACACTGAGTGAGAAAGATGCAGAAAACACACAGGCAGCGCCCAGGCCCACAGTGATCCTGCAGAGAACCTGTCCGTGAAAACCTTACAGCAGTCCCAAAATGAAGACTAAATATTCTCAATCTTAAGTCAGAAGTCAGACAAAAGGAGAATGTTCCTGAGAAGTTGCAATGATTCCAAATTAGGTGGTTTCATTGTTCTTGAAAGATTCAAGATAATTAAAAATCGCCAAGAATTAAAAAAGTAGAGAGTTCCAGAAAAAGATAGAAATATTTATTTTTGTTTTACTTCTTCCAAAAACCCCAAGAGAAGGATGGTAAAGGGATATTTTTTTCAAGCACGCGCTCAAACAAACAGAAGGGGAGGTAGAGGAAATCACACTGGAAGTCAGAGCAAACATACCCATGGTAAGTGATTTAACAAGACCTGAGGCCGCAGGAGGGACAGCAGAAAAGCAGCCTGTGTACCACAGACACCCGACAATGGTCAGAAGGGACAGCACCACTTCTTGAGGGACGGTAAAGGGGAAGGAAGCTCACAACAGGAGGACTGATGGGAAACCCGTGTAAGCAGCAGGCAGATCCCATCCCTGCCCCACCCTGGCAGGACACAAGGGGGAAAGCACAAGGTGTCCGGACTGGGGAGTACTGGGCACAGCTCAGGGCACTGATGTAATAGAGAGAAAGGAATTAGCCCTCTTCCGCAAGTCAGCTTTTAAACCACTGGCAGCTGCACTCCAGGTTGAAGACTGGAATGTCCTTCTCTGGGGAACTTGAACAGCTCAAGAGAAAAGACAAAAAAAATATTTAGGTGGGCTTCACTAAAAAAAACAACCCAGCCAGATCACCCTATAGCTGATAAACCCCACCTACATACTCAGAGTATCCGTTCAGCCCCTAGCATCTACTCTTAGAGTAAGCACCTAACCAGGCATCATCAGACATCTGAGGAAAGGCTTTAAAGCAAACAAGAAAGAGCAACAGGACGGAGGGGTAAGGAGGTGGGAGGGATGACCCAGGAAGAGAAATGCCAAAATTATCCACTGATGATACATTCATGACATAAACAAAGATGTTATTTTAGAAAATAAAATAAAAGGAACATTTAAAGACTAAAAAAAGCACTTGGAAATGAATATAGAAAAATTTTTTAAACTTATAGAAGGCTTGAAATATAAAGTAAAGGAAATTTGCCAGAAAGTATCATAAAATATATAGTGACAGAAGCTCAATGCCCGTAGCTCAGTGGTTAGGGCGCCAGCCACATACACAGAGGCAGGGGAGTTTGAACCCAGCCCAGGCCTGCTAAACAACAATGACAACTGCAATAAAAAAATAGCCAGGCGTTGTGGCAGACACCTGTAGTCCCAGCTACTTGGGAGGCTAAGGCAAGAAAATAGCTTAAGCCCAAGAGTTAGAGGTTGCTGTGAGCTATGATACCACAGCACTCTACTGAGGGTAACACAGTCTCACAATAAATAAATAAATAAACATTAAATATATATATAGTAATAGAAAATAAGAGAGACAGTATGAGAAATATAGGATACAAAAATTCTAATATCCAAATAATGGAGCTTCCAGAAAGAACTGAGAAAACCGTAGAAATAATGAGTGGAATAATTCAAGAGAATTTTCAGAACTGAAAGACAAAGAGTTCCAAGGCTTCAAAGGGCCCAGTAAGTATTCAGCACAATGCATGACAGACCCATAACAAAGGCACATCACAAAAATTTCAGAACACTAAAAACAAAAGTGAAGCTCTCATAAGCCTCCAGAGAGAAATGACAGGTCACATACAAAATGATCAGGAATCATAAGGCTTTAGAAGTCTCCATAGCAACATGAATATAAGAAGTCAATGACACAATGTATTCAAAATAAAATTATTACAAACTCAGAATTCTATACCTAGCCAAACTAACAATTAAGTGTGAAGACAGAATAATGGCATTTCAGACATTTAAGGCTAGGTCTCAAAATGGTACTTTACTTTTGTAAAGAAAGCTAAAAAAAGTAAAAAAGGAGGATGTATTCCATCAAGACAAAAACATAAACTAAGGAAAAAAGAGAGAGAGAAATGGGACTCAGTTTTAGGATCAGGGATCTCACAAGGAGAAAGATGAAGGGAACATTTAAGACAATGGCAAAGGGAGGATCCCATGGTTATAATACAACCACTAACTGTTGATCCAAGTTTTAATATGAATATATATAGAAAAAGGAAGACTGGGAAGAGTGTGTGTGTGTGTGTTGGAAGGGGACAAGTAAGAGGAAGGTAGATTCTCAACTTTTGCAGTGAGAAATCATAGACAATGCTTTAAAACTGAAAGACCAACGAGTCCCAATATAAGCGATATTTAGACATCTAAGTTTGGCGGGCCTCAGTGGCTCATGTCTATAATCCCTGTGCTTTGAGAAACTGAGGAGGGAGGATCACCTGAGCCCAGAAATTCAGAGCTATGATCAGTCCACTGAATACCAGCCTGGGCAACAGAGGGTGATTCTGCCTCTTAAAAAAAAAAAA